TCACAAATTCAGCGAGTACAGCGAAGGCGGGTGGTGCATTAGGGTCTTGGTTCCTGTGGGTTTCTGATATTTTGGCCATTCATCCCTTGACTGCTTTGGTAGTTTTCTAACTATGATCCTTTGCTTCTCGAACTGATCGAGGCAGGTAAGTTTCGGCATGTTGGGTTGCTCGCGAACTGAATGTAGCATCGAGAGTGTGTCTGCGAATTCCAACATCTGGGTGTGATCATTGATATTGATGTTAGGGAAGGTGTAAATGCAATCTAAGAGCGACTTTTCTGTCAGTTCATGTCCGCCATACCGCTCGTCGAGCCTTTCCCAAGCTTTGAGAAGGGCGGTAGTTGGGTTGCCTAGGTGGGCTAGTTGAGTGTTCTCTACTAATCGTGTGGAAGCCGGTCCCAGCCATGTTTTCATGTGTCCGAGCGCTTCGCTCGATGTTATAGCTTCATCTTGGATGGCGGTTTGGAACGTGAGCTTCCACAATACGTAGTCCTTTCCCGGTTTATCGGGGAATTTGTGTACACCCTTGGATGCCAGATCTAGTTTGCTTCTGTAAAGTCTCATAGGGGTGTAACCGGGTGGCGATGGTACCTCGCTTCCAGGAGTGGGGGCGTGTGCCATGTTTGGCTGGTAACTTCCTTCGGCGTAATGGTGGCTGGGTGTATTTTGCCATGTCACGTGCAAGGGACCTTGTTGGCTTGGTCTGAACTCTGCTGCTCTGGCATTGAGCTGAGGGAGCCCAGGCTCTTGCTTGCTTACGTGTTGGAAGGTCTGTGTTTCTGGTAGAGTGTAGCTAGCTTCCTGGTAGGCTGTCAGAGCTGATGCTCGAGGCTGTCCTCTGTAGTCAGGAGTGGTGGCAGTTCCTTGGGGCGCTTCCTCCTGTTGGTGCAGCAGGGACTCTAGTGACTCTAACGTGGCTCTAACTCTTTCAATCTCTTCCCTGAGCGACGGCTGGTGCTGCTGTAGGGCTGTTGGCGCTATAGGTGGATCCATCCGATTGCCATTAGTGGTATGGTTTGGTGGGTTCTGTGGGGTAATAACGGTGGGAAGATCTTGGGGCACTCCCCGCTGTGCAATTGTCGCCGTTGCTGGGGTAATAATGGCGGAAAGATCTTGTGGCCCTCCCCGCTGTGCAGTCATTGCCATTGGTGGTAATCCCATCAGGTTTGATGTGGCAACAACGGCGGGAGGATCTCGTGGCCTAGGTGTCGTGACATCAACTCTGCAGTTGACCAGCGAATCAGGTCGTTGAGATTCTTCTGTTCGTCTACTCGGTCTTGGGGGGCTCGTGGCTGGCTGTGGTGCTCTCATCTGTGCGTTCTGGAATACGCTTTGGATGTCCACATAGGTCTGTACGTGGCTACAACGCTCTTCGTTTTCCAGTTGTTGTCTGTCTGGCAAGAAAGTGGTGTACTGGAGTATTCTCTGAAGGCCTTCCGCTCTAGCCATTTTGTCTGCCATAACTCTTTGGCATTGAGTAAGTTCAAGTTCTTCTTGGGCGTCCTTTCTTTTGGCCTTCATTTTGGCTGCTATAGCCTTTCGTTTGGCTTCCATTTGGGCTGCTTCTGCTTGCAGCTTGGCCTCTATTTCAGCTTCCTCAAGTTCTATGGCCGACAACTCCTTCTTTTTCTGCCTCTCCTCTTGTGCCACACGAAAGACAGCTTCAGCGGCTTTAGCGTCTAAGATTATTTGCTCTTCCTGTGAAATTCTGGATGCTCGGCTGCGGCGGGAGGATGTCTTCGAAAGGCGGGAGGCGCCTGTGACATGTGATTGTTGGGATACGCTAGAGTGTGCCCCGGACATGTGGTGGAAAGATGAGGCCTTTCCAGACACCTGAGATGGATCTGCGTATGATCGTTGGGATGGTGCATGTGAAAAGCATGAAACTTTGGACTCGGCTCTGTCAACCGGACTGCCTCTTTGGTGAGGCTCGGGCTGTGGGGAACCCTGTGAGCTTTCTAGAAACTTCTTGCGTTCCTCGTTTATTAGCTTGAGGCTTTGCATCTCGCTGTCGACACTTGGGTCTCTTAATTGTTCTTGAATGTCCTTGAGTTGCTGTTCAGAGTCCATCCATTGCACATAGGCGTCTTCCTTATCTCCTTCCACTGCGTGTGCCCATTCTGGGGAGAGTTCCTCCTTCTGTTCGTGGTAGAGTTTGTATAATCTCTCCCAGCTTCTTTCATGGCGCCTGTGGATGGTGTGCCATTTCTCCATCCGATGTGAGTGCATGGCTTCTGTGAGCTTTCTGCATTGTCTAAGATCGTATTGACCCTGAGACATCTTGGGCTTTGTTGAGGCTTGAGTTTCAGCCTCTGCATACTGGTCAATGTTGGCTGTTTGCAGCATCTCTCCTTGACTGACTGGTTGGGGTGTTTCAACTAGGTTAGTTAATTGAGCTCCTTTGTCCAAATCAGTAAGACACTCCTCCATGGTTAGGGTAGGTTCCGTGTCCTTCTCAGCTATTTTGAAGAGAATTTGAAGAACTTTTCTCTTTGACCACTAGGGGTCGCTACTTGTAGATCAGCCTCTGAGGTGCTGTCTGTGGGTGGAGATGCTACTGGGTGCGTTCTCCTCTGTTTGTGGGTACTTCAGTGCAGTTCACCCCTTCACCACTAGGGGTCTCTTGCTGTGGGTCAGCTACCGGGGTGCTCTGGCTTCGAGGTTCACCCTTTGTCCACTAGAGGGGCTTCTCTGGGTTCTGTTAAAGGCTTGCGTGTAGAGCTTCCTTTAACCACTAGGGGGCGTCTAGAGAAAGGCTAGCCAAATTCTTCCTATTGCCACGTTACTGCTAGTGAGCCACTGAGAGAATGTAGAGGTACAAACTCCCACCTGGCTGTGATAATAGGCGAAGGTAATTGGCTCTTGCTTCCTGTCTCTCAAGCTGGGACAGCTTAGCCTTCAGCTTGAGTGAGTGAGTACTTTTGGTAAGTTCACTCTGTGCTCTCTAGGGGGTGTTGAAAAGGCTAGCCAAATTCTTCCTATTACCACGTTACTGCTAGTGAGCCACTGAGAGAATGTAGAGGTACAAACTCCCACTTGGTCAGTTGCAGGCTGGAGTTCCAGGTCATCAGCTGTGATAATGAGCGAAGAGACTTGGCTTTGATTTCTTCTGCCTACGTTCTCTCAAGCTGGAACAGCTTAGTGCTCAGCTTGGGTGAGTGAGTGAATGCTTCTGATAAGATCACTCTGTGCCCTCTGTGGGGTGTTGGTAGCTTGGGATAACTTTAAGTAGCTTGCACTTTAACTAACAGATTTGCTCTGTTGTGTGCTGAATTAATTGTGGCTGTTGTGACTCAGCTAGAAAAAAAATTGCATGACCACCAGGGGGTGCTTCTGTGATGGTTCCTCCTTATAAGGACAGATGAGTTTATTGAAAGGCAATAAACCTTGCTTATGTCTGAACTTTAGAGGCAGTCATTAAACAGTTCTTTGTTTCAGGCTGCGTGATTCACTGGCAAAGAGGGGAGGGGGAAAAGCCCAAGCTCCTTTTGGTGTTAAAATTCAAACTTTTCATGCAAGGAACAAAGTAATTTTGAATCAGATACAAGGCACTTTTCAAGGAACAAAGTAATTTTGAACCAGATACAAGGCACTTTTCACTTTGAAAGTTAGCTAGCAAGTGAATTAGCATAACAAAACTTCTGAATCACTCCTTGAAAGCTGTCTCTTACACAGACACGCTGGCTTTGTTTGCAGGCTTTTACAAGCATCAAGAGAATCTTTACTTCCTTGAAGGTTTATGCAGAGAAAAGGCTAACCAATTTGATTCTCTTTCTTCAAACTGTTGCAGCTTTGAGAGGAGAATTAATCTTTGCCAATTTACTATTTGCTTTCAAAAGATGGCACAAATTATGAAAACATTTCTTACTATACTGACCCAAATTTAAAAGTGTTATATTTCAAATCCAGTCAGATAGTTAACTCAAAGGAAACGATCTTATAATAAACAAATATATTTTAATGAGAAGGATTACTTGCGTTCATGTTGAGATTGGTGCTGCTGGAAATACATGTTTGTTCATCTTTCAAATCTTTTCCTTAGGTAAGAAATGTTATTGCTCTTCACACCATCTTTATAATGACTGAGGCTATTGTATGACCTCCATGGCCCATGCTTGTTACAGACAAAGAGATTCCCATGTGGCTTGTGTCCAGGAAGTCTCCCAAAGACCTTTGGAACTCCTCCCACTGACCCATCTACATACCTAGCATTTAACCCAATAACTGCCAGACCTTCCAACATAGAGCTGGGCCATATAGCTATATGGGCCAGAACATAAAATATATTTAAAGATTCCAGGGTGGCTATCAATGATGGAGGCATTTGTACATCCGAACCTGGTAGACTTTGAAAAAATATGGACATATAGAGATATTCTAAATATTGATGGGCATTTAAAATCTAAATAAGAACTGGAAAATCAGGGTATCAACCTGTCATGGTGGACACATTTACAGATGCAAAATAGATATGAAAAAGATGTGAAAATGTATGGATTTTATAAAGAACAGACTGTAAGATTTTATTAACCTCAGATGAGAAATTAATCAAGAAAATGTATATTTTTTGTTAATTTTGGAAATGGAAAGTGAACAAGTTAAAGAAACAATGATTAGATGGGCAAAAAACTTTGGTTGCAATAGAGAATTAGAAAACTGGCAAAAATTATGGGAGAGAAACTATAAGTTAACAATGGCAACTTCATATAAAGAAAATCTATATAAAATGTTTTATAGATGGCACTTGCCATCAGCAAGATTAGCAAAAATGTTTAAAAATATGTCAGTTAGATGTTGGAAATGGAAGCATAATTCAGGCACGTACTATCACATTTGGTGGACATGTAGCAAAGCAAAGACTTATTGGAAAAACATACATGACTGGTTAGAAAAAATATTAGGTAAACATGTTGATTTCAAACCTGAACTTTTCTTATTAGGTATAATGCCTGAAAAGATTAACAAACAAAGCCTATATTTGATTTTACATGTCATTACAGCAGCAAGAATAAGTTTTGCGCAATATTGGAAAAATGAAGCACTACCACCAGAAGAAGAAATAATCAGAAAAATATTGGAATGCGCGAAGATGGACAGATTAACTTTGAGACTGAAGGATAAAGAAGATACAGACTACTATCAAACTTGGGACTTATTCTACTATTGGCTAGAACAGTAGTTCTTAACCTTTTTGAAAGAATCGCCCCCTTGAGCCAATGAGGAAGTTGTCATCGCCCCACTCCCCCAACATAACCTCTCAATCACAACATAGGAAATAATTCTTCAATTTATGCAAACACTTTTTTTGTTTTCTTTAAAATTGTCATCAGGACATATTGATGCAAATAATTTATTTCCAGTCTTTTTCCCATATCTCAACTGTTTGAAAAATTTTGGTGCCACCCGTCACTTTATTCCCAAACTTCGTGATACATGTATTTCATTATTATCTTATTTATTCAAGACACTTAAATGTAATGACCACTGAAAACAAAATTCAATTGCAAGAAAGTGAAATGCCCAAAAAGAAAAACAGTAACATTTAATGATTGAATTACAAGTGAAATTTAAGACGCAAAAAGAAATATAAAAAGGGTAAAGGCTGCTGCACAAAGCGCATGAAGATAAGCAATGCATATTCACATATGTATGGCGTTCTGTACTGAAGCTAGCTGGAGGAACATTTGAAAACACAATTCAATCCACGAATAGCGAGCGATCTGATGTTTTTGTATGACAGATATGCAGCGATTCACTATACGAAAAAGTCTCAAAAGTGTCCCCAAAACTTCTCGCTCCCTTGCCCCCATATTGCCCCCGCATGGCCCCTTTTTGTTCCATTGCCCCCCTGAAAAACAAAATTGCCCCCTGGGGGGCAATATCGCCCAGGTTAAGAACCACTGGGCTAGAAGAAAGAATGAAGGATTAGGAATGGAATATGTATTAGTATTGTTGATTCCAGACAGATCATTGATTGAAAAACTAACATATGTATGTAAGAGAAAAACTAATAAAACCTTTAAAAAAAATTCAGAGAAGAGCAACTAAGATGATCAAAAGCCTGGAGACTAAAACATACGAACAATGGCTGCAGGACTTGCGTTTGGCTAGTCTAAAGAAAAGAAGAAAGAGGGGAGACATGATAGCAATATTCCAGTATTTGAGGGGCTGCTACAAAGAAGAGGGGGTCATTTTATTCACCAAAGCACCAGAGGGCAGTCCAAGAAACAATGGTTGGAAACTGATCAAAGAGAGAAGCAACCTAGAATTAAAGAGAAACTTCCTGACAGTGAGGACAATTAACCGGTGGAACAGCTTGCCTCCAGAAATTGTGGGCACTCCATCACTGGAGATTTTTAAGAAGAGGCTAGACCAGTGGTGGTGAACCTTTTAGAGACTGAGTGCCCAAACTGCAACCCAAAACCCACTTATGTATCGCCGGGTGCTGGGTGGGTGTGGTCAGGGTGGGCATGGCCAGCTTGATGTTGGGGAGGGATGCCTGTGGGGGCCGGGCAGGATTGGGGGAGATCCAGGGTATCTCTAGCAGGTGGGGCAGTGGGCAGGAAAGTGTCTTGCTCAGCTGATGGCTTGGGGGGAAGGGAGCAGCTACACCCCCTCCCAAACGCTGTCATCTCATGAAAGCAAGATGAAAACTCCAAAAAGCAACAAGGAAAAAAAAGTTAAAACAGAAGAGTGCCAGGACTTCCGATGGCGACTTTCTTCTAGCTGCCCGCCCTGGGATCGCGTAAAAGTCTGCAGAAAAGTGAAAATCAGCTGTTTCGTGCTTAAAACCTCTTTCCTTGGGAGAAGGGGAAGAGGAGAGCTTCTTGGGTAAAGGTAGAGCTCCCCTGGACCCCCATAACTTCAGGGAGGTCGGAGGGTAAGAGCTCCCTTGGAGCCCGAGTTTAACTCCGCATTCCAGGTCGTCTTTGTTCCGAAATTTAGGAACAAAGCTAGACGCCGCTTCCACATCTGCTTCTTAAAGTGAGCTTCTGAGTATTTAGAAGCAGACGGAGCTGACCAGGAGAAATTAGATTTGTGCTTAACTCCTAAAAAGTATCTTCTCCAATTTTTTTTCCTTTTTTTTTTTTTTGAAGAAGAGAAAGGGAAAGTGACAGAAGTTAAAGATGGCACTCGGCTTTCTTGTTTGAAGGTTTTGCAACAAAGTTAATAGACTGTTCTACTATAAGGCAAGAACTTTCTTTTTTTTTTGTCTTTGGAAATTTATTTTTCCCCCTTTTTTGATTTTATAATATAAGACTGTAAATTTATAAAAATGGCTTCAAAATGTTTTGTTTCCTCGGTCCCTAAAGCTTCTATTTCCTCTCCGATAACACAGACTGTTTCTCAGCCTAAGACAAAGACACCCCCTCCTTCTCCTCCACCTACATTTTCACTTAAAGATTTACAAGAAGCTTTTAAAAAAAACTGCTTTAGATATTAAAGAGGAGGTAGCTGATCTTTTGGATAATAAAATGACTTCAGAGAGGGCTGTAATGGCAGAATTATTGGAAGAAAAAAACAGAGAAATGAGAGAGGACATAAAGTTTGCATTTCAAGGACTTGCGATGCATATTGAGAGACTTGATGATAGATTGGATGAGGTGACGGAAAATGCAGCGAAATTGGAAAGTAGAGTTGATGAGGTTGAGAATAAGATAGATACGACATAGGATGAATTAATTATCTCACAGTATAGGGACATGGAATTTGCACTGTGTATTAGAGGTTTGAAAGAAAATCCGTGAGAAGACCTAAAAGAGTTAGTGGTTAAAGATATTGCTTTTAATTTGGGATGGAGACCGGAGGAAATCCGGAATGAGATTGAAAAAATTTTTAGGGTTAACTCATGGATTGCTAGACAAAGAAATCTACCTAGAGATGTGGTTATTTATTTCTCCAGAAGATCAATTCGTAATGAAATTGTACAAGCTTTTTACAAACAGAGGTTTCAAATTGCAGCTCAAGATGTCATAATTTTAAAAGAAATACCTCCAAAAATTTTAAGAAAAAGAAAAGAGTTTGCTTTTTTATCTGAGGAGATTAAATGTCCTCAAATTCAGTTCAGATGGGAGATTCCAGCTGGGATAGTGGTGAATCATGCAGGAACGTGTTATAGATTAAATACAGTTTTAAAGGCAAAAGATTTTTATTCCTCCGTTCTGAAGGCAGGTTCGTCCTTATCTCCGCAAGCTAGTAAAACCGAAGAAGAGCAAACAACTGGAGGTGCGACTTCACTGATTGCTAGAGAATCACAAGTGGAACCTGCTGTACAGAGTCTGGAGATAAAAGAACAAAGGATGACTCATGCTGCGCATAAACGTAGATAGAAAGATCAGAAGCAGAAGACCAGTGAAATAACAGAAGGAACCATTGCCATAGAGCCTGTGGGAGGAGCAAGACCAAAAAGATCTTCAACAGCTGATCTTCAAGTTATGCTTCAGAGGCTTCAAGCCGCGAGAGATGATAAAGTTTCTGAAATGGAATGTTAATGGTCTGAACTCATCACAGAAAAGAAAAAAAAGTATTTCACTTATCTGAAACAACACAATAATGATGTAGTATGTTTGCAAGAGACTCATATAACTTTGAAGGACTCTAAATATTTGATAAATTCTCATTTGGGATCGCATTTCATAGTTTCAGCTCCGGGAAAAAAGGGAGAGTTGTAATTTATGTGAAAAAAAACTTATCAGCTAAACTAATTGACTCTGATTCTCAAGGAAGATATGTCATTATTGATTTAGTACTAGAAGGCAAAAAATTCCTTATTGTTGGATTATATGCTCCTAATCAGCAACAGAAACAATTTTATAAGTTTTTGCATGGAAAAATAACTCAGTTGGATTATAAATCTGTTATTTTGATGGGAGATTGGAATGGAGTTCTGGATTCAAGGAAGGATAAAAACGGTTCTTTTAAAACTTTTAATCAAACTAAATTACCTAAAGCTTTTTTTGATATGAAAGATGATCTGGAACTCATTGACATTTGGTGAGAAAGGAATTCAAATGACAGAGACTTCACTTTTTATTTGGACAGACACCAATCATTTTCTAGAATTGATTTCTTTTTAATTACTATTGATCTTTTTTCCAGGGTTAAAAAAGTCAAGATTTTTCTTAGGACATTGTCTGATCATAGTCCTGTGTGGTTGGAGCTATTTGTGGAAGATGGGAATAGAAGATCTTGGAGATTGAATGAAAATTTATTTACACGGGAGGAGCTTGTACAGAAATGTAGAGAATATTTGAAGGAATTTTTTGTCTTAAATATGAATAAAGGTACTTCAATGTCTATGGTTTGGGATGCTAGCAAAGCTTACATGAGGGGAATTTTGATTTATATGAATAATGCTCTTAGGTCTAAATTGATACAAAAACGTAAAGAAATAGAAGAAGAGATTAAATTAAAAGAAAAGGCTTTTATTTTGAATCCAACGGATAATAAGTTAAAGGCTTCTATAAATATGCTTAGGGCGCAATTTAATATGTTAATGGCAGACTAGGTTGTGACTAATTTGCGCTATATGAGATATAATACCTTTTGCAATGCAAATAAGCCTGGGAGGTGGTTGGCTTATCAATTACGTAAGAAACAGAAGGCAAGAATTATAGAGAAAGTAAAATACAAAGGTAGTGAGGTTTAACAACAGAATTTGATTAAAAAGAGTTTTTTAGATTTTTATACAAAATTATATGCTAGCGACAATATACATGCTTTAGATGTAGAGAAGTATTTACAATCAGTACATTTTCCTAAACTTTCTAATGAACAACAAGATGTCATGAATTATTTAATTACTTCACAGGAAATTGGTTTAGCTATTAAGCAGTTAAAGGTGGGAAAGACCCCAGGTACAGATGGACTAATGGCAAAGTATTATAAAATGTTATCTGAAGAGATGATAGAGCCATTAAAAGAACTTTTTAATAGTATTTTGCTGGAGCTCCGGTTCCCCCTTCCTGGAGAAGGGCTTTTTTTTAAAAAAAAATTTATTATTTTATTTTCATTACAATCATAAGAAAAAAAATTCAGATACATAAGAA